ATAGTCGAGTAGGTCGATTTTTAGTAGCGTTTGACTTGGAACTTCACAAAGGCACCCAGCGAATTAGCTGAGAATTACTACACGAAGACTGTGGGATAGGAGCCACGTGTATTCTGGTGGGCAGTTGACTCGAGCATGTGTGTGTGAACTATTGAGAACAGGAGGCGGGTTGGATGTGAATTTCCCATTCCTGCTCGCTAAGTGAGGCTGGGAGCTCCCATCCCTGTGGCCGAGAGGATAGTGTTGTTCTGATCCAGTCAGATGCTTTCCTTGCAGGTTCTGCTGACCCGCTCACAGGCCCTGCTGTGTCTGCCCTGGGCTTGCCCACGGGGTTCTGCCGGGAGCACTTGCTGAAGGCCCCTCCCCTTCTCCCGTCTTCTCCCGTCATTTCCATGGGGTGCTGCTCCCACACAGCAAAAGGCTGCTGCCTGCTGCACCTGGTCACCTCCAACTGGACTTCTGAGAGCCCTCCTCAGGGCATGCTTGCCCATTCTAGAATGTTCTCTCTGAAGCGGTTAAGGATTCTGGATAAATCCTGCTGCATTTTTTAAGGTCTCCAAACCCAGAAGCTGCCTTGCCCCACCCTGGACGTCCCACCTTCCGCCTGCCCTCAGCTGGCCCAGTCAGACCGGACTGGTGAGAGAAATAGGCCAGGAGCCCTGGGCTGGAGGAGAGGAGAGGAGAGGAGAGCAGCCCAATAATGCTCCCCAGGCCTCCCTGTGAGACGTGGGTTGACAGTTTCCAGATCTCCCTGTCACACTTCTTTGTGTCCTGTGAGATGTAATTTGGATTTGGTCTAAATTTTCCTCGGTATGATTTTATCCCTACTTCAAATCTTGTCCCCCCTGGAAAGCCTTAAGCAAGCCTTCCACTCCCTGCGACCCTGAGTGGGACGACTCTTGGTCCAGTGACCGGTCCCTACAGGCCAGCTCCCTCTGGCTGGCTTGTGAGCCTGGTGCCATACCCCTCCTTAGCGCCATCTGGCCTCTAAAACTCAACTCTTGGTCCCTTCAATGGCCTGTGTTCTTATCTGAATCTCTTCCAGTCCACTGACCTCTTGCCAGAGAGCAGGAACAAAGCCCACAGGCGCTTCTGCCGTCCCTAACAAGCCTATTTAGCAGTCATTGGGCTGGAGGCCTGCTGCCCGGGGATCTCTGAACACCTTCCAAACAGTAGTAGACGTCAAATACAGACGGAGAGAAACCTGAGCCCGCGGTGCAGGACGACGCACCTTGTGGGGAGGAAAAGCGAACCCCTTCCCACAACACAGGCCACAGTGCCCCATGCCTCCTGCACGAGGTCAGCCTGGGAAAGAGGACCAGACGTGGAGTCAGAAGAGCCTGGCTGGCCCGGAGATGGGCCGCTGTGTGTGTTCCTGCACGGCAAAAGCCACGCTGGTCATGGAAGGACAGCACGGGCAGGGTGACCCAGCTCCCCCCGACATAGCTGTGTGCGTGGCTTTTCTGAGCTTAATGTTTCCTGTAAAATAAGAAAAATCCAAAACTTCCGTGCCTGGAGATCCAACAAGATGAAGCACAGGAAAACTCCGTGAGCAGTAATGAACGTTGTTTTGAAAGGCAGAGAGGGAAGCCAAGCCAAGTCCAAAGTGAACCAAGCCCTTGACAAGTGTCCTGGCCTCTGCACCTGTCTCTCCGAAGCAGAGAGAGCAGACCCACGATTGGGCCGCTGACCGTGAGAGCTGCAAGGGTCATCTGTACAAAATAGCCCACCCCCACCTAAAATGCCACAGACGTAAAGTCCCACTTGTGTCCTAGCAGTGCAACTGGGGTTTGCAGGGAGAGCACTCAGGGAAGGCTGTGAGGTGGGGCAGGCGGGGCTGAGGTGCCCATGTGATGCTCTGCGGCAGGAGCAGGTGGGCAGTGTTGGGGGCGGGGTGGTGCGGGGAAGCCTTCCCACAAACTTGGCATGCGCCTATTCACTAGTTTCTTTGTTTGACAAATAAGTATTGAGCATCTGCCATGTTCTAGGGCTGGGGGTTCGCTGGCAGACACAAAGCAACGTGCTTATGGGGTTTTAGGTCAAAGTCACATGCCCTTCCCAGCCCAAGGGCCCCATAACCAGGTTCTCAGGCTCTGCAGGTGTGAGGGTGCCCACACTTCCGCACCCACTGTTCTCCCGTGACCAGCACAGTTTTTACTGAGGGGTCAGGCAGAGCAGCCCATCTTTGTGCCACCCCAGTGGGGGAGGAGGTGAACTCAGGGTTGCCTCTGACAGAGGCATCAAGGATGCGGGCAGCATCTCCAGGACTGCCCCAGCTAAGAGGAGAGGGCCCCTTGTCTTTGCTGTTTATCTGCACCAAATGTTTACTGGTAACCCGAGTACTGGACAAGCAGCTCCACCTGCCCCAGGGAGTTTGCAGGCTCCCAACTGTGGTGGTCTGCTAGGGACTGCACAGTCTCCCCCAGGCCTTCCATCTGGGGGTCCTGGGCCCTGAGGGCAGGTGATGTCCACTGCTCTTTACTAGCCCCCTACCCACCCTGTGAGCTGCTTGAGGTCGCTCTGCCTCACCATCTTTGTGTCCCTGAGGTGAGCTCAAAGCTGGGCGCTATGCTCAATAACAAGTAGCTGAAGAATAAACGAGGGGAATAACACGGCGTTTCCACAGTATCATGCTGAGACACAGAGGTCCCAGCCGGAATGCTAGTCAAGGTCATGATGAGGAACCTTGGGGACACACTTGATCTGTGAGGCAAGTCAAAGCCAGAAAGGACAAGGGGCGACAAACTATTTTCACGTACTTGGCCTAAGGCATAACTCATATGTGAGCTGGGGGGCATGTGTTCCAAGGATCTAGACAGGACTTGCTCAGACCCCCTTTACAGAGCTCATAGGGAGCCCAAAATCTGTCCCAAAGGCCATCATTCTCATGGTCACCTCTAGCTCTAAACTCCTGTGTCTGCTGAATTTGTTTTTGCTGCGTCATCTGTGTTCCACCATATGCACCGAGGTCTAAGCTCAGCCCCTTCACTGATTGCCACAAGTGAGAAAAATATCACTCACATTTGTGAGTTACTGACAATTTGAGAAGACAATACAAAAAGCTTAGAGACCTCCCAAATCTCAAAAGCCTTTTACAGTGACTAACTGCTGGGATTTTTAACTGGCCAAGAGACTCAACAGAAGCCCCCAGCCTCAGCCATTTTTTCTGGCTCCTCTCTCTTCCTCCCCCCATCCTCATTGGTCTGCCTGCCACCTTCTACCCCAATAAACTCTTCTCCCTCTATGTTGCCAAGTGGTCCAGCTCTTACCAGGTCTACTCCCAAACCTTGGCATAGCCAATTCATCAAGGGAGGAGTGAGCACGAAGGGCCGTCTCTTCTGTTAGCAGCACAGAGGGCTGCAGGGACCCTGCACCCTCCTTAGACAGCAGCATAATTTTAAACACCACCCCCCCCCAACTTTCCCATAATCCTTACCCTGTAAGGGAAGGTGTATCATTTACCTTCGTTCTGCAGACGAACCTCAAAGAGATCATTTATTGTCCAAAGTCACACAAGTAATGAGTATAGAAGATAGAATCGAAACCAAACTCTTGGGACTCGTAGACTAGCGCTCTTTCCACTATACACAGCAAAGGAGATCAGAATGGAAGGCTGTGTGTTGGGACAATGCTCTGCATGCAAAGCAACTTCCCCGTTAGACCTGCCATCCCAGTGTCTAGAATGTGCAAAACACCAGGCAGCTGGAGTGGAGCTTTACAAAGACATGGGGTTCCAAGTCTGTGCCCTCAGATGGTCTGTGATCTAATGAAGGAAGCAAAATACACCCACAGGACACCAGTGTATCAACAAATACAGTTACCTGAGTTCAAATAGGAAGGTCAAATAAAAATGTCAATCATGGAAGGCTCCCTGGGGGCGGTGAGAGCCACCTTCTTTTTTGTTTGAATTGGACCTTAGATGCAGAAGGTTAAGTTAATTGCACTCATATTACTTCTCAGATGCTCCATATTATCATCATTATTGGTCTATACAGGCCCTTGTTTTATTTATTTTTTTCTCTTTTATTCTTACTCCCATTCTCATTCTCCTCCTTCCATAGTCAGCCATTCTAACATATTTAAATATGTATCCATTTTTTGGGAAGTATTTTTGTTTTTGTTTTGTTTATTGAGGTATAATTGACATACAACACTACATTAGTTTCATGTGTACAACATAATGACTCAATATTTGTATACATTGTGAAATGATCACAATAAGTCAGTTAATATCCATCACCTTACCGAGTTAGAAAAAATTTTTTCTTGTGGCGAGAACTTTTAGAATCTACTTTCTTAGCAACTTTCAAATATGCAATTAGTATTAGTAACTATAGTCACCATGTGGTACGCTACAGTCTCATGATTTATTTTTCTTATAACTGGAAGTTTGTGCCTTTTGCCCATCTTCACCCATTTCTCCTATTCCCCATCCCTGCCCTCTGGCAACCACCAGTCTATTCTCTATATCTATGAGCTTGGTATTTTTGGTTTTTTGTTTTGTTATTGTATGTGTTCTTGAAAATGCGACCTCTTGGGGCCGGCCCAGGGGTGCAGTGGTTGAGTGTGCACGTTCTGCTTCGGTGGCCCGGGGTTTGTCAGTTCGGATCCCGGGTGCGGACATGGCACCGCTTGGCAAGCCATGCTGTGGTAGGCATCCCACATATAAAGTAGAGGAAGATGGGCACGGATGTTAGCTCAGGGCCAGTCTTCCTCAGCAAAAAGAGAAGGATTGGCAGCAGATGTTAGCTCAGGGCTAATCGTCCCCCCCCCAAAAAAAAAAAAAGAAAATGTGAATTGTTGATCTGTATGTTTGTATTTTAAATTCATGTAAGCAGTATTATACATCTCATTCTGGATTTTTTGTTTTTTTCACTCAGTGCCATGCAAGATCTATCCTTGTTGCTATATGTTGCTATGGTCCATCTCGCCCGTTGCTTTCAGCATCGCGTCATCCTCTGAGGTGTGCATCTACCTGATTTTACCTCTTCCCTCCCCAGTGACGATCACTGAGCTTGCTTCCAGTTCCCTGCCACCATAAACAACTCAGTGATGAACATCTTCGCACATGACCTCTTATGGATGTGTCGAGAAATTTGGGGGACATAGAGCCAGGAGCAGAATTGCTGTCTCACGGGGTATGTGTGAATTTAATATGACCAAGTAGTGCCAGCTCTCTCCCTCAACAGCTACACCCCACCATCAGTGCCCCTAAATTCCCACCTCTGCTCCAACATTGGCATCCTCCAGCATCCTATTTTCTGCCAGTCCTACCATCACAGAGCAATAGTTCACTGTGGTTTCAACTTGCATTTCTCAGATTACTCATGAATTTGGGCATCTCTTCATTTTCTTGTTAGACTTTTGAGTTCCTCTTTCATAAACCATCTGTCCATTGCCCGTTATTACGCTGAGGTTCTCTTTTTTCTGCCCTTGATGCTTTGCAAAGTTTCCTTGCATCTCTTGGAGAAGCCCCTTCTCGAAGGGCACGTGCCTCTTTGCTGCCGTAGTTGTCCATCCGTGGCAGAGGAAGGAATCTGACCACCGATTCTTCACACCCTCATCCTGGAGGTCAGGGCTTAGTCATGGCCGTAAGTAAAACCAGAATACAAGGAGCCCTTCTTCCTATCCGCTCTGCCAGCCTTGCCCGAGGATTGGTGTCGGGAAGACAGGTAACCAGGCAAAAAAACTGTTGCTTTTCTCCGCAGCTGCTAACCTGCTGTGTCAATTTCACGAGTTAATAAATGATTGGAGAAGGCTTAACGTCACCAGAAGGAATTGAGATCAGCCGGTGCTTAGGCCCCACTCAATTAACTTGCACTCCTAAGGGGGCCGAGCAGGGAGAGGGAGCAGCCGATCCTTAATTACATGTGCTGGTGCCAGCTGCGGCTGGCGTTTCCTGCCAGCGTTCGCCAGGGCAGTGAGGGAGGTGACCCTGTCTCAGAGCGCTGAAGCCACTGAGGGCAGGGCCCCTTCGGAGAAAACACAGACCCCCGGCCTTGTGTGGGAAACCCATTTCCCAACACATTCTATCAGGGTGGCGTTTAATGCACCCCCAGCCTCTACTAGAAGAATGGCTTTTAAGGACCCCCATCCTGACCTCTTGGTTGGCTTCCTCCCCCAGGGACACCACGTACCTATGGTTCTCCTCCCATGCCCTCCTCCTCTGCCTTCTGGCCCTCTTGCCCCAAGGGCGCAGAATCCAGAGCCAGTCTTGCTGTGGGCAGCAGATGATGCCACAGGCACTGCAAGGTCACCCACCTCCCCTGCTGCCTCCAGCCTGAAATCCTCCCAAAGACCTTCGTGCCTACATCATTTCCCAGAGGGCCCGATGGGAAGACTCAAACCTGTTAAAAACAGAGTCTCGGGCGCCTCCCTTGGAGAGGCTGCTTCAGTAGGTCTGGGGTCTCTGTTTTTTAACATGTGGCCTAGGTGATTGCTACCATCAAGCCAATTTGGGAAACTCTGCTTCAGGGGATACCTTAGGTCCTGGTGAAACGACTGCAGATCTGGAAAGAGAGACAGCGTACTAACAGCGGGGCCCCGGCCTGAAGCCAGGAGGCCCCACTCCCTGCGCCTCTCCTGCTCCGTCTTTATCTTGCTCTGTGTGGTTATGCAAGTCACTAGTCCTCTCTGAACTTGATTTCTTCATCTATTAAATAAAGATTTGGGGCCAGATCTCTTAGAGACCTTCTACTTCCATGGATCGTTTCTCTACAAGCAACTGGTATGTCAAACAAGCATGCTGCATAGGTTGTGCTTGAAAAGCAACATTGATTTTTTTTCTTCGAGTATCTCTTTACTATAAAATGTATTCAGTGGGAGAAATCTTCCGCTGGCCCTAGATTAAAAACTTGGGCCAGCCCTGTTCACTCTTAGGTGATGGTCTTGTAGTCACTCTAAGTTATGGATGCAGCCTCAACTCAGACATCAGAATGCCAGTCACAAATAATAATCGAAACACTCCCAATCTGATTGCGTTCTTCTTTCCTCCGGTTTGGATCAGCTTCAGGTTTGGAGCGGCTTGAGGTGGGCCACGTCCCTCTGCTGTCTGCACCCCCCTACTTTGACCTTCCCTCCTGCCACCCCCAAGAGCTGCTGTGTCACTAGCTCCGGAATTGAAATGGGGAATTCTCACTGGTTAGAGAGCAGGAAGAAGCTTAAAACTGGCTCTTGCTTTTGTGAATGTTTCTGTGGCTTTGCTGAGGTTTCCCGCTGGGCCCCTCTCTCCTGCTGTCCCCTTAACCCAGGTAAGCACATCGTCTTTATTTCAGGTGTTTCTTGCAACTCCTTGCTCAGCCCCTGGGCATTTGGAGGCCACCTCCAGCCTCCTCGAGTGGGGTCTTCTCGTGCTTCCAGATGGCACTTTTAGACAGGACTCAAGACAACCAGTGTTTTCCAGCACTATGGCCCTGTCCCCTGGGGGTTGGAGTGAGGGATTATGGCTCAGCAACAGCTCTTGCCAAGGAAATCTTCCTCACCAAATCCTCACCAAATTATTGACCCATCTTTATTTGACAAAGCTGGGGAAAGGGTTCGTGGACCCTGAAACAGACATTCCTATGTTCCCATGTATACTCCCCTACACACGGCCAGGGCAGAGGGACCCGTCCCCAGCTCACTTTAGTCCTCTGATTTCTATCAGTTGGCATCTCAATCAAAACATAGGTAGGAAGAGTCCCGCTCTGACATCCAGCTACATGTGACTTCCATTTTAATGAGCATGAGAACAGCTTTGAGAAAAGAAAGCCCAAATGCCCACAACACCCAAGGCAGGCACTGGAGACAGTATTGAGGCCCAGATCTGGAGAGGAGGGGGGTGAAAGCATGGATGGGACGACTCCGAAGGTGAGCATTTTGCTCCTTCTCGGCTTCTCCCGGAGCTCTGCTCCTGAGACCTGCTGACCTCGGATGAGCACCAGTCCCTGAGGCAGGCTAACATCTGGCCTTTGACTTCCCCCTTATGGCTGGGGCAGAGAACCCGGAGGTGGTCCGCCCTTTCCCCACGGAAGGTGACTCTGTGAATCCACTTAATGGTTGTGTTCCCTCTCCAGTACACAAACACACACCCAATGGGGCCTGACCTCCTCAGGACAACCAGCGGGGGGCTGAGCATCACCACCAGAGGGCGTCCTTCCTCTCCCCACACCACCATTCCCAGGATAGGGCCAGGCTCTCCTTGAAATAATGTTGAGTGGATATTTAAAGCATTTTGGCTTGAAGGGTCCCCCAATAATTGGATTCCTAAACATTTCAGTTGGGTCCTGCCTCCCCCTCCTCCATCAGCACTTCGTTAGATGATCTTATCGTCGTGTGATGACCTTGTCATACTGCAGAACTTGTTCATCTGACGGTGCAATGGGAATGTTGGCCTGAAGGAAGTCGGGATATTGGAGTAAGGGAAAAGAGTGTGGCTCTGGGCCCTGGGAATATGGACAGACCCAGGGAAGAAAGGGGAAGAGAATGGAAAAGACGTCTGTGGGGAAAAGGGAGAGGGATCAGCCGTGCAGGCAACAAGGACACATCCGCCAGGGGACATGTCTGAATTCTCCAGTGGAGGAAGAACAAGGCTGCTGGACTCCCTTCCCCACAGTGAGCCTCACTTCCCAGAACGGGCAGAGCCTCTTGCCCGGTATCCAGCTGTGCTGAGCAGAGGGTTCTGGAGAGCAGCACTGAAGGAAAGAACGGGATCCTCACACGGGATAGGATGTGGCCTTAGAGGTCTGTCCTCAGGTTCTTAGTCTGGGGGCCTAAGATGTGGATGTCAAGAAACAAGCCCCTTTGGGATCTTCCACTTCAGAGTCATGGGGTCACAAGCAGGTGCAAATGCAAGCCTCTCTGTCCTCTCGGCCTCCCCCTCTAGCTCTCACTGACCTTCCCCTCTCTTCTCTGGCAGGGACTGATGCCCTTGGCCATGACGCACCCCCAACTGCTGTCTGCTCAGGCGCAGCCTGTGTGACTGAGCCATCGCTGCTCCAGCTGTTTCACGTAAGTATAAGGCTCGGGAGAAGGTGTCTGGGCCCTGGGAGGGGAGGCGGACTGGTGGGGAGGGAGCTCCGGATAGTCCTGGTCACAGAAGGCAGACCCCAGGACTCCTTAGTGGGCAGTAGGTTCGTGCCGTTTGGCTGCCTTCAGTTCCTGAGTTGGTCACCACCAAATCATTCTGTCAGGACCTGCTGGGCCCTAGGAGGGAACACAGACACCTCTTTCTCCTCAGAAGCTAATCAGGAGGCAGCTAGTCTGATGGAAACTCCACAGCACTGGCCCTTGGGTCCTGACTCGGACGCTTGCTCTTATATGACTTCAGGCAAATCACTTAACGGTCTGGCTTCCCCTCCTGCGTGTGGAGTTTTTGTACAGTTCAAAGGGGGTGCATTAGTTATCTTTTGCTGCATAACAAACTAACACAAACTTAGCAGCTTGAACCAACACACACTGATTATCTCAGTTTCTGTGGGTCAGGAATCCAGGCATGGCTGTCTGGGGCCACTGTTTCAGGTTCTGTCACAAGGCTGTGTTCAAGGTGTCCACTGGGTTTCATTTGAAAGCTCAGCTGGGAAAGGATCCGCTTCTGCTCTCACTTATGCGATTGTTCAGTTCCTTTGGGGCCGTAGGATTGAGGGGCCTCAACTCCTGCTGTCCACTGGACTGGGGGCCAGAGGCCACCCCAGTTCCTTGCCACATGGGCCTCCCCAACATGGCAACATACTCCATCAGCACCAGCAAGGGAGAGAGTCGGCTCGCAAGAGGGAAGTCAGAATCTTGTATAATCTACTCACAGACGTGACATCCCATCACCTTTGCTGTATTCTGTGTGTTAGGAGCAAGTCACGGGTTGCACCCACCCACGAGGTATGACTTCCAGGAGGCAGCGTTCCTGTGGGGCCATCTTAGAGCCTGCCCATCACAGGAGGGGACGTAAACGGAAGCACTTGGTAAACTGTAGAGTGCTGTTTCGATGCAGGAAATTATTGTTATCATTTGCATCTAGCTGCAGAGAGAAAGTGAGCCCACCTGAAACCACAGGGAGCTGCCAGATATGGGAATTTAAAGGCTGAATTGTATTATTAGCACACCTGGGCCCTCAGGGAAACTGGCTGGGACCTGGCTAGTTCAGTTTACATGTGCCCTTTACACACGTCTTCTTGGCTTATGCTTGTAAGACTTATGCCAGACTTCAGCAGCCACAAAATGTCTGGGCCTTCCCTTTCCCCACAAATAACCATGTTTGGAGGATGTTTTAGAGTTTACAAGGGGCCCTCGCATCCATGAATCTCACTTTTTCCTCATAATCATGCTTGTAAGCTGAGTTTTCTGTTAATCTCTCTTTTGCAAGTGAGAAAGAAGGTCAGTTTCCAAGACAGGGCGGCTGCTAAGTGGCACAGTTGGGCCTTGAACCTGGGCCTTCAGACCCGTGGCTCTGCCTGCACTGCCGTGCGCCCCCATCTCCAGGCCACTTCTGCTGCACAGCCTCTGTGGCACTGAAAGAGCGGAGGCCAGGCGTGCTGGGCAGGAGGAGGGAGGGCGCTGTTCTTACACGGCTTCATAATTCCCTGTCTCCTAACATAGGCTGGCACATCCCGGATGACCAGGCCACAAGTTTCAGTAGAGTGGGTCACTGCTGCTCCCCCAACTTCAGGTCACTCCGTAGGCCTGTCTGTATCTTAAGCAGCCCTCAGTGGTGAGCATGCAGGGGAAGCCGGGCAGGGTGCAGTGAAGGCACAAACATCTTCCCAAGGCTGAGCTTCATCTGCCCCCCACCGACTTCCCCAGTGAACCCCTGAATCATGGCCCCCCATGCATCTGGGCAGAGTCTAATTGGTCTTGAACGTTGATGCTCAAGGCAGCAGAAAGGGTGTGAGCTGAGACAACCTGCTGCCCCCTGGTGGTAGATCAGAGTCATAACTGCCCAGCCTGTGAAAGAAATGCACAACGGCAGAAGGATTACCAAACTTGTATTAAGTACCTGCTGTGTGCCAGGCACTGTGTGTAATGCTGCAGGGGGATAGGAAACAGTATAAGACACAACTCCTCATCCCAAAGGACTCACGACTTAGTGGAGGAATCAAGATGTTTCCATGTGAAAGTTGACAAGCATCCTACCAAGGCAGGATTTGAAAAGTGGCACATGGAAAGTCATCCTAGTCTGCCCTTGAGGGATGGGCAGGATTCAAGTGGATGGAGGAAGTGAGGTCACACACTCCACCACTGAAAGGCTTCAGGAACCCCCGTCATCCCCGAGAGTTAAATCCCCATTTCTTGCTTGGCTCACAGCCTCTCCAGCTGCATGCCCACCCTAACCCCGTCCCAGCCTCTCCAGATTCCTTATAGTTCCTGGAACTCCAGTTCTTTCACGCTCCTGGACTGTCCGTTCTACCCTCTCCACCTTGTCTACTGGACAAGCTCCCACTCAGCTGCTAGGATTCACTCACATAGCATCCTCCATGGAACCTTCCCCTAGGAGTCAGTTGCCCTCGCCCTGTGTCCCCACAGCCCCTGGTCTGTGTGTCTCTGGTTGCGTGTGTTACGCCAAATCATAGGTATGTTAAGTGTCTTCTCATCACCAGGTTATAAGCTTCTTAAGAACTGGAACTGTCTGAGGGCAGAGGATTCATGCAGGGGGACAATGGGAGGGGGGAGAGGGAAAGGTCATTGGTGGAGAGCAGGCAGGGAAGTCGGGCAGGACAAGGCCTTGAAAGTTCCGTCTAAAAGTTCGTGCCCAGATCCATGTGTGCTGCAGGCAGTGTGATGCTGGGGAGGCTCTGGAGGACTCAGGGGCGCTGGGGCCTGATGAGAGGCTAAACCGTGGGTGGGGCGACGAGTGCTCAGCGACACCCCGTGAGCCGGGTTAGGAAACTGCAGCAGCGCAGGTGTGAGAGCTGAGTCTTCTCTGAGGTAGAGAACGGAAGCCGGGAGGAGCCAAAGAACAACTTGAGGGTGTTAAGGTCTGGACAACTAGGGGAACACCCTGGGGCGTTGTCAAACTCTACTGCGCAAAGTCATCACCTGGGGCCTTGTTAAATACAGATTCGGACTCATTAAGCCTGGGGTGGAGCCCGAGATGCCGCATTTCTACCCACTCCCAGGGGCCACCCGTGCTGTGGTCCACAGAGCGCACGGTGAGCACCTCCGAGTGAAGCAGCAGCAGTGCTGGGTGCGTGCAGCATGATGGAGAGGAGCAGGCGGGGTCTGTGGGTGAGGAGATAGGTGCCCCGTCCGCCAGGTGAACACAGCAAGGTGCATGGCTTCAGAGCAGAGTGCCAGCCCCGCCTGCCCTCTGAGTAACGAACAACCTGCAGAAGCCTTCAGAGCAGCGCTGGTGGAACGGCTAACAGATGGAGAGGTCGGAGGAGGGGAGCCCAGTCGGAGAGAGGGTGATGGCTTAGCTGGTCATCATCGAGTTAGAGATGCCAGTGGGACATCCAAGTGAAGTGTCTGTCTACGATCATTTGGAGACATAGCTGGAGACCCATATTCGGGATTTGCAGGCTCAGTGAACAGAAGACTGGGAGAAGCCAAAGAAGAACCTGAGGATTTTAAAGTCTGGACAACTAGGGGAACACCCCTTGGCGTTGTCAAACTCTAATGTGCATGCAGTGAGGAAAGCAAGATGAGGTGGGGTGGTGCAGAGGGAGGAATCTACCCTTGGGGTCTTTTTCAGGGAGTGACATTCTTAATCTTCCAACATCTCCGTCCCTTTGTTGTCTTGCAGGTCACATTCCCTTTACTGAACCTAAGTGTTCATTGTCACTCTTCCAGCCTCAATATGCCAGGTCTCCTCCCACCCTCTTGCTCTGTTGGCACAGTCAGCCTTGGTCCCCCTGTACCCGAGGGGCTCAGAAATCCCCACTCCGTGGCCTAAAAGGGGAATCTGCCCAAGGCCAGAGAGCCTCATGGCCAGAGCTTGCGTCTATCCCGTTAGTTTAGCCTCCATTTTCCAGGACCCATCTTCCAGCCTCCACAACCTTCCAGGAGCTGAATGCCACCTGCCCCCTCCCTTTGGGCTCAGCTTGCTCTTGTTTTCCACAAAAGGAGTGTGTGTGTGAGCCAGGGCAGAACCAGGTGGAACTTTTTGAGATTCGGGCCTTGTCCACCCAGCTGGGGTCAAGGGCTCAGGGACCGTTGGTGTTTGTGCCCCAGAGGGCAGTGATGAAAAGCATGGCCATTAGGGTGAACTAAGCTGGGAATTCCAGCCAAACCAATCAAGCCTCAGTTGATCCTGTGTGAGACAGGGATAATTAAGAACTATCCCAAGAGTTTATTGGGAGGATCAACTGAGAGAACCAGGGGAGTGCTTGCTCCGTGCCTCACCCAGACTAATTACACTTCAGTTCGCTCTTGGCCTCCTCTCTTCCCTCCACAGCTGGAAGTTTCCCCCACCACCACCGCCCCCCGGGTTGGCTGGCCCAGGCCCTGAACCTCAGCCACGCTCCATCTTCAGGAAGTGCCTGGTGTCTTGGTGCCCAGGGCCCTTTCTGCTCTGGCTGCTCTCAGGTCCCCCTGCCTCCAGCTGTGCAGAAAGCTCCGGGGGGGGCCCGCCCCATGCCTATGCTCACCTCTCCACACACATCTTTGCAGAGTTTGATGGGGCGTCGGGCGGATGACAGCGGGAACGGTTGTGATCACTGGCGGAATCCTAGCTACGGTCATCCTCCTCTGCATCATCGCTGTCCTGTGCTACTGTAGGCTCCAGGTCAGTCCCTTGCGCCTGTGGCCAGAGGCCACCAGCAAACCACTGCCTCATTATGGGGGCAGAAACTGGAGCCCCACTTCAAGGGTGACAAAGCCCAAAGCTGTGGAATGTGGGGGGCATGAGTCAAGGTGGCTGGGAGTTGGGGAGCAATCAGAAGTGAGCCATACATCCCCCACCCTCTCCACCCTTCAGGGCACCCAAAGAGAGTGTGCTGCAGAGACACCGGGTCATTGTGTTGTGTCTCCTGCACCTCTGAGATTGCAGGAGTGGTGGGAAGGGCACCATTCTGGGAAGACTCTGAAAGCGGCTCGCAGCAGCCCTGTCCTCAATATGATTTGTGAGGCTGTCCCTCCCTGCCTCCCTCAACCGCCGCCTGGAGTTAATGCCCTGGGACATAGAGGCAGGAAAAGGAAGGTGATGGTCTTGCAAGGCTGGCATACACACTTTGGAACGTGGGCTTCTTGGTGTTGAGTTTTATCTGAGCACCAACAAAGTGCCAGGCACAGGGTCCTCCGTGGGGCAGGGGTGTGGGTGCCTGCGCACACTCTAGAGGGAGCATTCAGCCCTCAGGCCTCCCCTCTCTCCCCCCAGTATTACTGCTGCAAGAAGAGCGGAGCCGAGGATGCAGACGAGGAGGAGGCGGAGGAGGAGGAGCACGACCTGCCCACACCCCCCAGAGGCCCCATCTGCAATGCCTGCAGCTCCCAGGCCCGGGACGGCCGAGGCGGCCTGGTGCCTCTCAGCGGCGAGCCCTGCAGCCAGCCGTGCGGGGTGGCAGCCAGCCACTGTGCCACCTGCTCCCCATACAGCTCCCCCTTTTACATACGGACGGCTGACATGGTGCCCAATGGGGGCGGAGGCGAGAGGCTCTCCTTTGCTCCCACGTACTACAAGGAGGGGGGGCCCCCATCCCTCAAACTGGCAGTGCCCCAGAGTTACCCGGTGACGTGGCCAGGCTCTGGGCGTGAGGCCTTCACCAATCCAAGGGCTATTAGTACAGACGTGTAACCCCTTTCACCCCTGACCCCCCAACACACACCAAGCTGCTGGCCCAGCAGGAGCCGTGGGGGCAGCCATGACCCCTCCGACAGCCCGAAAGGACAGCCTCAGTTTCTTTGGCTTTTCTTGCCCCAGAGTGGAGGGGTCACCAGGATTCAGGCTGGGCAGTGCGTTGAGAACCCGGGCAGGGTCTGTCTGGTTCCAACCCGGTGGCCCAGAGGTGACAGCCTGACAGTTGGAGTTGTCAGCTTTGCCAGTTTCTGTTGGGACGTTCCTCTGGCCAGCTCCAGCACCACCACAACCCCCTCACTCCTCCCCTGCCCCGGCTTTGTGGACTGTGAGGAGAGAAGTGCCAGGGAGAGCTAACCAAAGGTGCTGGAGGCCTCCAGAATCCTTGGGGCGTGAAAGAAGAAAGGGGGATTAGGGGCGGGAGCGAGGTGAGAACTGGGACACTGCAGAATCTGAGAAGGGGGAGGTGTGGTGAAGGGGCCTCTTCAGGACTTGCTAAAACGCATTCAAGAGCTAGTTGACAATCTGGTTTGTACTTTGGTGATCACAGAGACGGCCATCCCGTCACTGCTCCAACATGGGTATCGGTTCCTGAACACACCACATCTGTATCTGCCCCCTTCCTCGTGGGACACGTCGAGTCGACTTTAAAGGCCATGTCGTAAGGTTATTTGTGGGGTCTGCACCGAAAAGTGACAGTATAACCTTGTCTCCCCGCAAATCCTCTTCCTCTGCCTCGGGAACCAGCTGCCCCTGCTGGAGAAGCTTTTTCGAGTTTTGTTGCTAGAGTTCAGGTGGCTCAGTGAATGAAATTTGCTGATGGTCACCGGGCCCTGGTGCACCGCACTGAGCTATGTGTGTGGATGCGGTCCTGTGAGGATGTGTGCATTCTCAGGTATGTGCACACACGGCAGTCACCACCAGCACACAGCGGGGGCTTTGCCACCTTCAGGAGCTGCGGAGTGGAGGGTCTCTGATGTCCCAACTAGAAAGAAAAATCTGACCCCAGACAGCTTGTGCCAAAAGGTGATTAAGGTGGCCAATCCCCACAGCAGCCAGCCGGCTGGGACAGAACAACCTGCGAGTCTCCAGTGGGACGATGCTGCAGCCATTGAAGCCACATAAAGCACCTCTGGAGGTCCGGAGTTCTGTTCCACCCATGACGCCACAGAGCAGACCACTCATTCCACCAGGGACGGCAGCCCTCGCTCCTCAGGACTGGAGGGGTTTGACTTAGCAATTGGATTCCACGCTCGCTGCCCTCCCTCCACTGCCCCGGCCCCATCTCCGGGTGAGGGCCTGTTTATTGCTGTCTCACTCCAGCCCCAAGTCCAGCTCCCACTTCCCACTTATAACTCTGCTGTGGCCTTATGCTAATTAAGTGAATGCATCTGATGAGTTTTCTGGTTGCCCCTGCAGTAAGGGGTCTCTGCCCGCCCCGCCCCCAAGCTCCACCCACTCCTGGCTTCTGAATGTTGCAGAGCGTGGCCCCTCTGCTGAAATCTTGATTTTGCATTTGAGAAAGGGCCCGGGGCAGCTGGGGGAGCGGGGGAGGGGAGAGAATTCACCACAACCTTTGCATTACTCTGTTCGGGCACTTGTCACCTTGCATCCCGTCTGTAACTAAGGCAATCAGAAGACCTGGCTCTGGTCACTCTTCGGTCACTCCTTAGCTCTAGGACCAGTCACTTATCCTCTCTGAGACTCCATTTTCTCCAGGGAAATGAGACTTGCCCAGATAGACTCTGAGGGTCCTTAATTGCCCCACGAAGCCAGCCTCCCAGAGATCTGCCAGCCTGGCCACCCTCTCTTGCCCTAATCCTGGCAGGGGCTGGATGCACTTGCCAACTGCCTGGTCCTGTGTGCAGGGATGCATGTTGGGAGATGAGAGACCACAGTAAACCACAGGACTAGCAGGCAAAACGATTGTAACCGGCAGTGAAAAGCAAACAGGTTTGTCTGACCTTCCTACTGAGTGACTTCAGATGGGAACATCTGTCTTCTACCAGCAGGTGACTGTAGGTGGAGGTAATGAGATCTGTCTCTCAGTGCAGAGGGACCAGCTTAGGAGGGCAGCCTTACCATACCCCGTCCCACCGCCAGCCCTTCTTGGGCCAAGCGCACCCCCTTGATGTGAGCTGCTGGGCCTGGCCGCCCTCGCTGCTTCCTGACCACCAGCCCCAGTGCCTTGCTGCCCTGGAATTCCACAGCCAGTCGGCCACGGCAGTGGCTGTCCCTCCGCACCAAAAAGTAACAATGCTTTCGTACTTTCTACTTTGGAGAAATCAAGACAACCCAGTTAACTCCGACCCGCTTCTTGCCCCTGATCTACTGGGGTCCCTGAGTGCAAAGCATGTCATGCAGTCCATATCCTCCCGTAGCTTCCACAGCCTAAATCTGTCAACCCACAAATCAGAGTCTGAATTTGGGGCATTGGAGAGATGGTGGGCCACGGCTCTCCCCCACAGTCCCCATTGCTCAGGGCACAGGCTCAAGATGGCCTGTGCGTCTCCCCGTGGCGGCGGGGCCTGGCCTGTGCCAGAGGAAGCTCACCCCACTCGGCTGCACTGCACTTTTCAGCTGCGGAGTCTGTGCTCTGGGACACTCTCTGGGACACTTTTCAAACTGCACCCTAAACAGGAAGAGAGGGAGGGACGGAGGAACACCCAGTCCTCTCCACCATCTTGTCTCCACCTCCACCTCACCACTCCTGCTCCGGATTTCTTGTCCCGCATCTTTGATAACTTGGAGTCACAACCAAGTGAATGTCAAAATAAATGAGGAATTTGAAATACAAATCCCACAGGGTCCTCTGTTCTTCACCTGGGGAGGGGGCAGCTGGGCGTGGATTTAAGAGTGAATGCCCCTTTTCATCACCTAGAATGTCTATTTTCAAGGCCCAAACCCACCATCTTCCTCTCCCCTGCGCTCGCACACTAACAAAGCCCTCTCGGTGTGCCTGCTATCCCCTTGTTGCCTCAGGCAGAGCTCACATCCAGGGAGGATGTGTTCTTTGTTGGGAAAGGGCACTTGAAGTGTCATTGCTGCCGACCTCTCAGGTGGAAGTGGCCGTGCCGATGGTGGGGGGCCTCACTGGGGAGCAACCAGGCTTCGGCCTCCCTCCCTGCCCCACCCACGCTCACCTTCCAGGCCTCTGGTGTCCCCATCTGTAGCTCAGGGTTAAAGCATGAACTCTCTGAAGCTCAAGGAGCCCCAGAGTGTCATCCAGCGAGCTCTCGCATGTTGGAAAGGGAGGGAAGAGGAGAGATTGGGGACCAAATTCTCTGCTCAAACTCCAGCAGAGACTGTAAAAACAGGAGAGGTATGGAGTTAGGACCAGAGGACCAGGAAATAGTTTTGTGTGTGAAAGGGAGAATGCAGCGAGGATGAGGGTGAGGGTGGGTCTGCGTGTGTGTGCACGTGAGTGTGTATGAGAGAAAGACACTCTCCCCATCACAGGGCCACAGGGAGCCCTGACTCCAGCTGCGTGGGCAGCGGGAGGCCTGACCTGAGCAGTGCAGCACCCAGGCCTCCAGAGCTCGGGGAGCTCTGCCTGGCAGGCCTTGCCTCAGGCCTTCCGGGGGGCACAGCTTCCCCCTCGGCCCAGGAGGCAGTTGGCCACAGCTCTGTCACCAGTTGTCTTCTGGGAACAGAAACTGATCAAGTCTCTCATCACTGTGCTCACCCCAACCTCAAGCCGTCTCCTGCATCCCCGCAGAGCGGCCCATGCCCACCCACCCCTGCCTCTCACCCACACGTGGTGTGGCAGGGCTACCCCCTCCCCCACCCCCACCTCCCGCACCTCTGTGCAGCCTCAGGCGTTGTGCTGGGATCACAGCCCAGGCCCAGCTCTTCTCCCTGGTAGCACCTGAGCCCCCACAGCCTCAGCCCCTGGTCACAGGTCCACTGTCCAGGCCCAAAGGGGTGAGGAGGGGCGGGCAGAAGCTGTGGGCAATATCGCAGGCCCATCTCCCCAACACCCATGGGTCTCTCTGACCAACACAGTCCCTGGCGCCCTAGACCCCATCAGCCCATAAGCTGTGTCATGCCAACCCAGATCCCCAAAGCATTGCCCTGTCCCTGCGGTTTCTGCAAGAAGCTTCTTCCACCATAGAAACTTCTCAGCCGTTTTCTATACTCCAGTTTACAAGTGTTGCTCAGAGCCCGCTGGTCATGTCCAGGGGAAGCACACGGAATCATAAATATCCAAGGTTGGGGGCTCTCAGACAGCGCAGCAGCGAGAAGAGGTGCAATGCTCCCCCAGCTCCACTTGCTCAGGATGGAAATGGCCCACACTCCTTGAACCTGGGGCACTGACCTGGGCATGTCACAGACAACAGTGACAAGGACAGCCAGCACCTCTCCCTCCTCCTCAGCTGGTCCAGGCTGCTCCTCTCTCCTCCCTGTTTGGCCACTGTCTCCACCTTAGTCCCCCAGCCCCACTGGCCGTCCCTCCTCCACCGCCGAGCATCTCCCTCTGTGGAGAACCAAGTAGTACACAAGCTCTTGAAAGACGCTGCCTGCACCTCAGTCTTCTTGGCGCCTTCACAGGGCGCCTCGGGTGCCCAGCACACAGCACCCTCCAGACCTTCATCCCCAGACACAGTTGGTGTCGTGCTGGGTACAGCAGGAATCAGGTTAGGAAGAACTTCCGGGTCACGAAGCTGGTGCCTCCTTCCTCCCTGTGACCTCACATCCCACAGAGGTAGCAATCTAGTCGTGATCAGAGGGTGGAGTTTCGTATCAGACTTTAGTTTGAACCATAGCTCCACCACTTACTGTGTGATTTAGGCAACTTTTAGACCTCTCTGTGTCTCAGTTTCCTCATCTGTAAAACTGGGATCACCTTGCCTGCCTTATTCCATGGTTGTAAAAATTAAGTGAGCCTGGCACACACGTGGTAGCCACTGTCATTAGTAGGATTTTCAGGTGGACCCAAGACTGAGATGTGGAGGCAGCAGGGCCCCGAGCTGGGATTGCTCAGGCCTCGGGGGCCGGGGCGGGGGGGTCCTCTGGGTTCCACTCTATCTCCTGGTCTCTACTCGCCCCCGAGCCTTCCCTAAGCCTCGCCTCCTCTCCCTGCCCGTTCCAGGCATTGCCGGGACCACCTCTCTGCTCATTACTGCCTCTCTCTTCACTCGGAACCCCCCTCCCCAATAACTGCCTGTGACTCTTTGGGGGACCAAGGCTCCCGTCACCCGAGGACTGCATTTTCACCTCACATTTGCCCCAATAAACTGAATGAATGAAGGAGAGTATTCACATTCCAACTCAGAGCACAGCTCTCAGCCTGGCTCTCTGCTTCTCCTTTCACTGGCTTCCAAGTTCAAGGCTTGGGTTTGAACGTCCCATCAGAAGGGGTGCAGGGGACTTCCAGCCCTTCCTCTTGAGCCTGGACTGCCTGGCTTGTCCATCCCTGGCCCTGCTGGGCTTCACTCAGAAACTGGAAGACATTCTGGCTTCCATGCTACCAGGAGTGGACAAGGGGTCCCAGGCGTTAGTGGGGAGGTGACAGCGGGGAAGAAGGGTATCCCGCTGTCTGGGAGGGAAGGGTGGGAATGTGTTTTTGCAGGATACCATCTGCATCTTCACAGAGTTAGGAAACCAAAGGAGAACCAGCTGGAGGAGTGGACCTGCCCCGTCCACACGGCCCTTCCCGGCGCTGGCTCTGTGGGCCCACCTTCACTGTGCCCTGCGTCCTCCTCCTCACGTCCTGCCTGGATCCACAAAGGACAAAGAAAAGTGACGGCCCGGCTGTAGACCTAACCCATGGCCACAGAGGACTCTCTTTCTCTGACTGGCCATCATATGATCACTCACATCCCCTCCTTCCAAAGGATGTAAACTTCCTAAGAAATAAAATCAAAGTTCTCTTTCTGTGTTCAGCTTACAAAATGGTTACGCCAACCCTGCAAGCCTGCTGTGCTCCTGTTCATCTGTGCTTGTCACGCCTCTCACTGTGTGGCTCCTGGTAAGTTTTCTATAATTCTAAGGTGTTTGAGGGAATGTCATATCCACAGATTTGTTTCTACTTCGAGATGAGCTCAGGCAGCTTGACTGGGTTTAGACTGAACTCTGGGAAATACGACCCTGGGGCCTCATTCTGCTGGTTCTGTAAGAGAACATCAAACCGTTCCCAGGCACCCCCCAACTTGCACCCTTGGAGGTGGGTGGCCGGCAGGACTTGCACAGCCCACGAAGCGCCCACGACCGACCGCCTGCACCATCTGCCTTCATCTCTCTTCCTTGCCCTGCGGTGGGTACAAGTGGGACAGGGCTCCGTCAGGGCAGCTCATAGTGCCTCTGCCTTTTTCTCTTTTCCCTCTTTCTCAAGGGGCTTTCAGGGTACTTTTTAGATGTACTCTTTGACACTTAGGCCATGAGTTTTGCTCTGGATCTAACTAAACAACTCAGGGTTAAACAGAGGCCTCACTCTCCTCACAAAATCCTCTGAACTCTTCCCAAACATGCAGGCCCAACCAAAAGGAGAGGCCTCTCCAGATGGCCACTTGGTACTCTTACCCACAAAAGCAGTATAGCTGAGGAGGGGTCAAACCCCAGGGAGGGGTCTCCCAAACTCCTACCCAGGCAGGAATCCTGAGGCAGAGTGGAGTCCCAGGGAAAGGGATGGGAGGAGGGTGGAGGATGTCACCTCCACCTTCTTATGCCTAATCTCTAAAAGGCAAGATCATTGAAAGCAGCCACGTGCAGGCTGTGAAAATCTCAGTTCTCCAAATCTGTGAAATTATTGTCCCACAAACATATCCAAATACATTCAGGATAAACGCACATCATGAATATTCTTAAGGATAGTATTTCCTTCTTTTTAACTCATTTGTTGGCAGCCCTGAACTCTTGCTGAAGCTTGGGAGATGAACATGCACCTGGGGCCCTGCCCCAAGGAAGGCAGAAGTCACCCCTCTCCAGAAGACTTTCCCCCACAATCCCAGGCAAGCCTACTTTTCCAGGAGGGCCGTTCCCAAAGGTGGCCAGTCCCTGGGGGAGGATTTGCCCAGTTCTCCAGGGAAGCGCTTGGCTCCTCCACTTCCTCTTTATCCTGTCATCAACTGGCCCCCACCCCCCATTCTACACACACACCACCACCACCACCACCACCAGCAAGGATCCCCTGCCATAGCTAGGAGCTGGGGGGTAGGTAAGGCAGCCCTTTTCCCCAGACTCACTGGCTCCCAGGCCTGCTCCACCCAGGGGAGTTCCAGTCTTAGCAGAAGTGAACGTCCAGAGGCTTGGTGGCTGGACCACACTGGGCATGTGAGATTGCTTTCCCTTCCGGGTCTCCACAGGAGGTGACAGAGCTCATCCAGCCCCAGCCACAGGCACCTGATCATCTGGAGGAACACTGGGTTCCAGCGCTGGCCTGCCAGTACAAGCCAGGTCCCACGTCCTTTCCAACCCATCCCAAGATCTATACATTCTTCTGGGATGGGTTTTCCCTTGGGCCAGAGGTTTTCCACCCATTGGGAATTACATCCTTATTCCTAACAAAGGACCACTCCTCTGAGAGGATTTGTGTTCTGAGTCTAATTAAACATCCTGAAATTAAAGCAGAGGCCTGACCCTCCTCACAACGCCCTCTGAATTCTTTCTCCAAACATAGAGGGCCCAACCAAAGGGATCCGGAAGGATCAGAAGACTCTAGACCCCAGGCCCCTGAGTCTGAGGCTTTCACCAGCCCTCTCACTTTCTCTTGCCTCTGCCTCCCTCCGCCCACCCGGCCCGAGAACCAACCCCCCCCCACCCCACCCCGTGTGAGGAGGAGTCTGGAGCTGGTGACGATGACTGAGGAGGA